AACTAGTCTAGTTGGTTTTGTATACCCTTACTAAACAAAGATCCACATACGGTAATCAAGTAACTATAAAAATGTAGACATGTGTGTTTTCCAAAAATCAAAAGAAATATTATCGAACAATTGAGATCTAGTTATAGAATAACCCTCAGGTGTATTTCGATTTTCAAATGTAGTCAGGTACGTTAATAAAAAAGTAGTCTAAACTTATGATTTTGAAACAACGTTATGATACCACTTGTTGAAACTTGTTTAATATAAATTAGGTTGTTAGACCTAAGCTTATATTCCAGCAGCTAACCAAGAGGGGAGGAATTGGTAAATAAAAAAAATATCCCTCTTTAATTTTTAAACCGATAAAACTTTTAATGAATTTTTGTAAAAAAAAAAATTTCAACTACAGATCAACAGAAAAAGTAAAGTAAAAAAGAAAAGTAGTGAAAAATAAAAAGACACAAGATTTATAGTGGTTCGGTCAAACACGACCAACATCCACTCTCTGGAGACACCCTCCGAGTATTGCACTAATACCAATAGTATCTCTCCTTTTGCCCCCATAGCAAGGTGGAGAAGCCTTCATAAACTCTCTTCCACTACTACCTGGTGCGACAGAGAACCGTCATCCTTTTACACCCTCCAAGTATAGGCAGAGTACCTCCTGCTGTTCACATTCTCTAAGTTTATGCAGAGAACCTTCCCACTGTTCACACTCTCTAAGTGCAGACATAGAACATTTCGTCCTTTCACACTCTCCAAGTGTAGGCGGAGAACCTTCCCGCTGTTCACACTCTCTAAGTGTAGGCAGAGAACCTTTCGTCCTTTCACACTTCACCAAGTGTCGATAGAAAACTGAATCTCCTTGAAAGATCTTCTCAAAAGAAATCTACAAGGATAAGAGAAAAGGGTGAAATAATCATAATGCACAAAGTTGAGATCCTTACCTTTGAGTACCAAGTGAATCCTTCACGCTTCAATGATAAGAACTTTCCTTTAAATACTCTCTCTCACTCTCTCCTTCACACTTCTTTTAATAAGCACGAAGACCAAAGATCAAAAAGATTACAAGACAGTTTAAGTGGATCTTATATAATAAAGACACGAAAAACCGTCCAAAAACTGCTAATTTTCAATTCTGTACGCACTCGATCGTCCCGTACGATCGTGATTTTGTCCTGTATGAATAATGTAAAAACTATTGCGTATGAACCCAATGTATATTGGTACGAAATAACTTCATACCCGATCATCATGCCAAACAAACTAAGTTTGTTTGGTACGAAAAGTTATATCAACAGTTCGTTTGGACGAAACTGCAAAATGATCCAAATTTTGAAGGAACAGAGGACTTCATCTTGGGACGAATATAGGAATTCGTCTGGATGATTGGTTCAAGTCATGTGTCTAGAGGACATCGTCTTGGGATGAATAGGGTGAATCATCTGGACGATCTGTTCAATTCAAGGATCCAGATGATATCATCTTGGGATGAATGGAGTGAATCATCTTGACGATCTATTCAATTCAAGGATCCAGAGGGCATCATCCTGGGATGAATGATATACTTCATATGGACGAACAATTTAAAGTGAGAATCCATAGGACATCATCTAGGGACGAATGGTATGCTTCGTCTGGATGAGCAGTTTAAAGTGAGAATCCAGATAACATCGTCCATGGATAAATAAGGAAATTCGTCTGGACGATCAGGACTTAGAAAAATTTTCTCACTTTCTGTTCGTTCCATTGCTCTCCGAGGGGTATAACTGATCTGATCGTCCCATACGAACATAATTCGTCCCGTACGATCAATATAAGAAATTTTGATTTTTAAAGATCTCCCCAAGTATGTGTGTGCTAAGTTACTCAATTACAATCATACTCTCTCAAACTCAATAAATTGAAAAATACAGACTTCAATTTATAAACTATCTTATACTAAATTTGATTTGAAGTCTTCATTAGTCTAGAGTTCGATTATCCTGAAATGTTAATCCACACAAGAGAAAAAATAATTTTTCCAAAAAAGTGTTAGGAGAAGATAATAATTAGAATAATAATATTTGGAATCATCAAAATTATACAAGTTTCAAGAAATGTAAAACATGCAAAAGCTAAGTAGCAACTCTCTTAACAATAGGATCTGGTTACTTGCTGAACTCTTGAGCTCACTATATGTGCTTAAATGATTCAAGTCAGAGCAAGAGAGCCGGAGTGTGAGATTGATCAGGATCTTTAATGTTCAGGTTCTTATTATTTTAGGTATTCCTTTGTACTCATGACAGAATAGTTCTGATATAATTATATATATTATGAGCAGTATATATAATTTTTAGAAAAATGAACACACACACACACACACACACACACACACACACACACACACATATATATATATTATTGATAGTTTTTTTCATTAGTGCTTTTATTGATAAAAGAATTAGACACCTCTAATTGTTCTATATTAAAATATAAAAGAATAATTCTTCCTAATTAAATTCTAAGATGTTACACATTTAACTTAAAATAAAAAATCAAACTTAGAGCAAATTAATTACCTAACTTCTAAGACGGTGGGTGTAACAAGTCCTCTAACTATCATCAACCAATTATGATCCTTTTGACGACTGTTACCCTTAACATAGTCCACCAACCAATTTTTCATTACTATAGCCCTCCAAATACGTTCTCTTGACTATGATCCATCAACTATTATAGCCCGACTATGATACCCCGACCTACAATTCTATACTCATTATTACTTAGTTACACTGACGTCCATTAAATTGTCGCCCACTATCGTTAGCAACATCAATGCATTCCATTAATACCAATTCTAAATTCCGACATCAATATCAAAATTTATACTGAACATTTTCATCACTAGTCTCCCATTTTCAAAGGAGTTAGATCAAATAAACAAGCAAATGATCTCTTAAATACAATTCTCATTTCATAGAGCTCAAATAACTTCCACGCTGTAATATGTTAACCCCACTATATTAATATATTTTCTTGAGAAGGGGTATTATTTGTAATAGATAAAAAATACCATTGAAATCCTTTCAAGTCAGTTTATAGAAAGGAAAGAGAAATACGAAACCTTCTTTCTGAGTTTAGGAATAAGCAACCATTCTGATAAATTATTATGCTGCATGCCTTCTGCTCACATCACATCAGAATTGGTCTACTCTAATGCTATGATATTTCCTGTGACTTCTTCGTAGTGATGAATTAGAAAAACTAGCAAACTGCCATTGATCCAAAACAGCAAAGCATATATAGAGTCAGTCAATAACCAGAAGAAAATGACACGAGAGACAAAGTTTGATGAATCCTTCAAAATTCAGAGCTAAATGTCAATTTTATTGGCAGCGAATGAGTATTAGATATTGCAGGTAATTTGCGAAATAAGGCACAATTAGAAAAAAAAATTTAGGACTGGCTTAAATTTTTTCCTAGAGTTAATTTTATTATATATTTCTTAAGATGTTTATTCTGATAATAATGGGGAAGTTTGGGTTGTTGTAAAAATAATAATATTATTATATTTAATATATTTGAAATTATTTATTGTAGAATAAATATCGGTAAATAATTTTTTATTTGATTTAAAATAAAATAAATATAATATATAGCTCAATAATGATGGTAGCCCATGACAAAAGTTTGGGGCTAATAGAGGCAAAAGACAAGGAGAGTGGACTAAGCTTATGGTGTATTTAGAATTACGTTGAAAATGGATGAGTTTTAAATACATTATAATTGGGTTGTATAGTAATTTTAAATTCGCTAAAATTTTACTTGAAATTCTTTTTTCATGAAATCAAACACAAAATTTTCAAAACTTTACGCTCACGTTTTATAAAACCAAATAGCCTCCTAAGTATAAAGATCGTTGAATTTAATTATTTTGCCCTATATTCACATGGTCTATCTTTATTATTTTTACATTTATCAAACCAATTATATATATCATCATCATCATCAAAAATTTAGCTTGACCGAGCACGAATAATGAGGCAAAATTAAATTGAAAACATTTAAAATTAAATTCGTTGCCATCCGAACTCTGATTTCAAGAAACTTAAAGTTGAACTAAACCTCTCGAAATGACGAACCCAACTACACCAAAGTTGACCCAATATGAGCCCGAATGGGTCCAATTTAATTGAAGACCCGAAGCCCATTTGGAATGTTCAAACTATAAATTGGATGATAAAACGGTTTCTAAACGTGATATGCTTATAATCAAATCGAGCGGCTTCACAAGACGAATTCAACGAGTAAGATCATCGAATTCTAACATTATTAAGGCACTCAAATACTAGATAAATGGTCCATGATCAAAGGAGTTGACTATAGGCATCCAACCACCACCATCCGACACCGATCTTTTCGATCTCTATAGTCCGCCAACTATGGCCCTTCCGACCAAACGAATATGTTAATATTAAATCTTCCAAATCCCACCATGTAATGCACTCTATATGATGTATATTTTCTACATCAAGCCAATGTCTTCTTCCCCCCCAAGGAAATGCCTCATTTGTAATTGACAGCAAACACTAGTGGATTCATTCAAATTAGGCTAGATCTTTTTTTTTTTTCATTTTTAGAAGTTTTCAATATAAAAACAATCTTTTATGAACATTACACTCTTTTTTTATTTGATTGTGTGTTGAATCTTTGTATGAAGTTAAGATGTTAAAATTTATATTTTTCTATCGTCGTGAATATTCCTGAATGCAACATATATATATAATGGTGATGATATCTTGACAGAATTAAAAAAAAAAAAAAATAGAGATTTTGATTTATAATTTATTTTATAAGATTAACATTAAATTGTGTTGGCTTACGGATACAAAGATTATTTCTGCATTGTTTTTATCAACACTTCTTTTAAAATCTGCAAGACTAATTCTAATTGAATTCTTCAAAGAAACTTGTCATATCAGAGCTTCTTTGCATGGTTATTACACGCATCAATCTCTTTAGAATCATTCAGGGAAACAAAAATTCATTGAACCAAGAAAATTACAGTTACATGAACCAATGAGTTTAAGAGTTTGACGCACGGATTACATGGTACTCTCTTCTTCAATTAAGAAAAAAAATCAATTTTTATGAATTTGTAGGGGGAGTGGAGGAGGCATGTCCCTCCTCCTCCATAAATTCACCTCCTTCTTCGGCTCCAGAGCCACCGCGCCGCCGCCCACCAGGATTGGAGCAGAGTGAGGAATAAACACATCGTCGTCCTCGTCCTCCTCCTCCCCTTCGTCTCCATAGTTCTGTCCCATCGTCTTTCTCCAATCAAAACCGGCAAGCGTCTCGCGCCCACTCTGATACCGCCGCAACTGACCCAACCGTGGAGCTGACGCCGCGGACGCTACGTTCGTCACCCTTTTCATCTCCATCTTCTCCTCCACCTCCTTTTCATGCGGCACCCCGCCGGGCCTCACCCTCCGGCGAAACAGACCTTTAAAACAGGAGCTGCATAGCCTCCTGCTAGGCTTCTTGGTTTGCTTTTCCTCCCTCTTCTCCTTCTTCTTCTTATTCTTCTTCTTCTTCTTCGTCTTGTCCTTGATTTGACCCATGCAAGAGATCTTTGGAGACGTGGGCTCAGCTCCGCCTCCACTATTGCTCCTCTTCTTGTGCTGCTCATCTTTGGGGAAAATTGAGACGATCGGGCCGGAGAATCCCCGATCTGACCGCCTGCCGGGACTGTGGGGAGGGTTGGAGACCGAGAAAGTGCCCGCCTTTGCAAAGTAGCTCATCTTGCTTGCCGCTTTTGATCTTCCTGCCCTCGCCATTAATAGAACAGGTCTATACTATTGATGAATTTAATAAGAACGGCGAGAAAGAATGGGGGAGGAAGAGATGGTGGAGGGAGAGATTTGGTCAGTTGAAGGGATAAGAAGGAGAAGGCCAGTTGATTAGATTGGCCATAAAGAAGATGATCGTACTAATATATATATATATATATATACAGACGTAAAGTAAGAGTAATAAGAATGGTTAGGTGGACTTTGCCTAGTCAAAATTGGATTCTCCTTCGAGGAGACCTCCTCAAATTTTTCTTAGTCAAATTTTTTATAAAACGCTATAAAATGCTGCTAAACAGCAGATATGATGGGTCAGAATATTTTAATAATAAGTAGTTTAAAAGAAATTTTAATTCATTTTTTTATGAGTACAATAAAAATTATGCACTGTGTTTATTTTAAATAGTTTAAAATAATTTTGAACTTGACAACAATTTTAGTTATTGAAAATACATCATGAGAAAATTCATAATCGTGATGCCGTAATGAAATTAGAAAATTTTTAAACTAATTTTAGGACTGCTCAAACTTCTGAGTTCAGCAAATTTATTTTTGAATTGAATGTTTTTATAAGAACCTGACGACCCCAAAGATGATTTGATGAGATTTTGATGAGAGGAATCCAATGAGTTCAATATAGCTCAATTATAAGATTATGAAAGCACTTCAATATTGAAAAATAATTTATAATCGAAAAAATCAATATAGGTCGTTTGAAATAAATATTTTGAGATTTTGATTAGATTTATCAAAATATCACTCTAAGAAAACTATAAATAAACATGAATTCTTCATATGAGAGATGAAAGGACCATGAGTTAAGATTAGGAAGAGGTTAGAGTTCCACCCAATATTCGACTATAATGGTCGGTGCCAGCAATCATTGTTGCCCAACACTATTGCCCAACTATTGTGGTCTCTAACTAGTTTCCTTAAATTTGTCACCTAACTACCGTCTCCTAATAATCATTTCCTGATTGCTGTAGCTTGACTATGATCTACTGATCACCGTCATTCAACTATAGTCTCTTGACTAACATCACATGACTACTATTATTGGATTACACCGACTTCATTGAATACTATCATCAACAATGTTGACTCACACTATCATCTATAAGGTTGATGCATACCATTAATCCATACCAGCTTACAAGACAAATTCATGCCATCACATATAAGGTTAATGCACAATATTTACATCAATGCCAGCATCTATCTCCCTCATCTCTTGTTATTGCTCACAATATTGATACACGATGCTACCAATAAGAATGATACGTGCTTTCGAACTTTATTAAACTTTTTTTTATCTATACTCTCTCTTCAAAGGAACATTTGGACATATCACAAACGATCACTTGAATACAATGCTTTTGTTTGAAGGCCCTTCCAACTTCTACCGTATATATAGAATCCAACATCAATAGTGAGTCTTAATAGATAATAAATTATTTGTGGGAATTAATATTTTTGTCCTTCTAGATATGTCATAATCATCCTATCTCCAATTTTAGTAAACATATAATCGAAGTGAATTTCCTGATGTCATAAATCTAGAGATACCAAAAGAGATCTTATCAGAGTCCAAATGAGCTCAGATCAGGTGCTAGAAGCAAAATTAAAAATTTTAAAATAATAATTGGATGACTAAACAATCTCTAAAATTTGTATGTTTATAGTCAAATTGACTGTTCCGACTAGATAAATCCAACGATCACTCATCCGTTTAATGATGATAATATTAAGGCACTTAAATTCTATACAAATGCCCTATGATAAAAGTATAATTTGTTCAATATAGTGTTATAGATTTTCTTCATATATTTATTGGGTACACCACTCTCAAAAATTATAAATTACTCCTCACTCTCTATATGAAATGGGACTTGGAGCTTAGACTTGGGATTGAGATTCAAAAAATCTCAAAGGCTCTAAGAATTTTAAAGTTTCACCTAAGCGCCACCTTTTGATTGTTACTTCCTATTCTTTGCCCAATCTTCACAGTCTGACCATGGCTTGAACACCATCATCGGTACACTACTTGATTGCAACCATCAAGCCATTACCTTACAAACATGCCATCAAATGTTGCTTGACTATAATCAATCAATCAACATCACCCAATTATGATTCTCCAACCAACATCTCTCATTCCATGATCCTCCAATCACCATCACCCACCTACACTCCTCCAACCATTTAGGCACGTATATAATCCTTTGTCCACTATCACCCAACTATAGTATTTTTTCCACCATCGCTCAATTACGAGTCAATTATTATTGGTTTTTACTAAATGTCATCAACCACATTCGTCTGATTACAATCATTTAAACATTGTTGCCAACCATAGTCATTTGACATCTGTTGCCCTACTAAAATACTCCTCCTACATATGTCACTTAATTATAGTCCTCTAAGATCCATTGCATTTTTTATCAATATAAAACCCAAAAAATCTATGAAAATTTAATTGAAAATAAGCATAGGGAAATAATCACCTATCTGGAGATGAACACATTTTATAGCTAGCTTTATGGATGGAATTAGCTCTATGACTTAATCTTTTAAGATGGTTGCTTACCCAACATAAGATTAACTCATTCACACATATTTTTTCTAGATGATGGCTACAAAAGTCAAGATCATCAAATTCAAGTTTTCTACCTACCTTGTCTAAGCATATAATGAGATGATTGCATTATGTTGATGCATCTCATAATAAGAAGCAACAAAAAGAGAGGAAGAAGGGGAGGAGAAAGAGAGGTGATATTCAAGAAAGAAAGGAAGAAGTTTTTTTGGATATTTAGAAGGGTAGTTCTTCAACTTCTTTAAGAATGAAGAAGTGCTAATATTTTTTATTTTAGCAAGAAAAATACTTGGTCATAGCTAAGAAAAGTTTTCATTTGATCACTTGGAAAAAAGGTGAGAGATTAATTGGAGCATTAACATCATCATCTTCTTCTTCACTTCTAGCTCTCAATTTTCAAACAAGTGATTGTATTTTCTTTAAGCAAGATGAAATGATATATTTGTCTATATATCTAATTTTGTATGAAATGTAATACTTTATGTACTCTTTTTGAAATTTAATAAATTATTCATTTCTATGTGGTCGTTGACAAATGCTTTAAACAGAGCTACATAAATCTTAATACTCTCTTTTGTGGTGCTTAATCTACTTTGTTGTTATATTGTGGTTTACTATACTTTTCTTAGCTTGATTGCACTATCTTCCTTAACACCGATATCTTTTGACTGTCATTTTCCAACACCAAGTTCTGCTTTCAACCAACTTCATTGACCATTGTCATTGATATCCACTACCAATCATTGATTTCAATCATTTTTGTGAGGTGTTAGTCTAGTTTTAATATAGGATATTCCTGTAAGTTACCACAATAATGTAAATGCATATATATAGGCATTATATGAGATGTATTTTTTTGGGGAAATTTTTAATGAAGATTTAGGATATATTTTCCTCCACCAAATTCTCTCTCTCTCTCTCTCTCTCTCTCTCTCTCTCTCTCTCTCTCTCTCTCTCTTGCAAGAAGAACTCAAGAAGAACTTCTAATTTCTTAACAAATGGTATCAAAGCCTCGATGAGGAGATCTCGAAGGAGGAAGGTTACAATCAAGAGAAAAAATGTTTAGTAGTAGTCCAATCTTGATATGAAAATGGTGATGCTCATTCATTGCAGATCCATCTCTTCCAGTACTAAAATTGCTGGAAGATCACCATCCGACATACATGATCTAGGCATCTATTTCCACAGGCATATCTAGAGCATACAAATGTATCTGGATATGAAGGACAAAAGGGCTCTATCATTGCTGGTGGGAGCACTGAATCTAATTCAGTGGGTTTGAACTGAAACCAATAAACTTCGAACATCTCCTTTTTTAGGTTGATATGGTCTCCTCCTATGAAGTTTGCAGAAGAGGAGGAAGAAGACCGTCTGTAAACCAACCAAGAAGCTTGAGTGAGGATTGAGTGGGAGGCAGAGTGGCATGAGCACGGTTACATGAATGTATATGAACCAGAGTCGCACGAGGTAGGGCCGCACAAAGCATTAGGCTTAGGGTGTCCTCGTGGGCCTCATATGGTCTCGAAAGCACACTGGTGCGGGTGCTTAATCTGACGCATGAAGTTTCAAGCGGGCATTATGTGAGAGCATGATTGGAAGTTCTGAAGCCGTGATAAGGATCTAACTCGTAAGGAGATGAACAGTTGTAGCTGAAAGTTTGACATGAATGTTAAGCCCTTATGAACTAGTCTCAAGGCTAATCAAGAGGGGGTGAATTGATATTTAAAAAATTCTTTAAGAAGGATCACAAATGCAACCAAATAATCACTATTTAAATCAAAGTGCGGAAATTAAATGTAAAAGTACAATAAGAAAGAACACACTATATTTTATAGTGGTTCGGTCAACTTGACCTACGTCCACTCGCCAGAGACTCTCCTCCGAGTATTGCACTAAACACAGTGTATCTCCTTTTACCCCTATAGTAAGGTGGAGAAGTCTGTTTAAAAACTCCTTTCCACCAACCCCGATGAGGCAGAGAACCCAACTCCTTTTGCTTCCTCTAGAAGCAAGCAGAGAACCAAACTCCTTTTGCTTCCTCTAGAAGCAGGCAGAGAACCTCGATCAGTTTCTAAAGTAGATCTCTCTAGAACCCTCAAGGAACCAGGAATGATGATCGAAGAAGACGATGCAGATTCTTGCTTGGAGCAACCTTTATGAAAACCCTCACAAACTCCACCTCATAAGATCTTCTCTCTCTCTCTCTCTCTCTCTCTCTCTCTCTCTCTCTCTCTCTCTCTCTCGCTTCCTCTCCCTCTTCTCTTGGCTCTTTCAGGTCAAGACAATAGAAAAAGATCTTCACTTGAAAAAATAAGAGATCTTTTAAACAAGGGCTCCAAATTTACCCTAATTAGTAACTAGTTGTCAAATATCATCCAGGATGATAATACTATCATCATGTATGATTAGTTTAACTTGTTGAATATCATCTAGACAATCGCCCTGGATGGATGTCTAGATGATGGAAAAATAACTAGATCATCCGGGCCGATTAGTACAAAATGATGAATATTATCTAGAACATCGTCTTGA